TTTAGGGTTTAGGCTTTTAGGATTTAGGGTTTAGGGTTTAAGCCCTAAGCCTTGAGCCCTGAACGCTAAACCTTGAGCCTTTAAATAGGCTACAGCCTCGACCCTAAACACTTTGGGTTTAAGGGTTTGGGGTTTAGGGGTTTAGGGTCAAGAGCGTCGAGCTTTAGGATTTAGGGTCTCAGAGTGTTCTTAGAGGGCCTTTTTGGGGAAATTCGAACTTAGAGATAAGAGCTCTAAGGGCTTAGAGGGATGGGGTGTTCTTAGAGGGTTTTCTTGGGAAATTCGAGCTTCGAGATTAGAGCTCTAAGGGCGTCGGGCTCCGGGATGTCAGGAGATTGCGCCAGACCGGAAGCTTTGTGGGTTTTCCAGGCCCTAAGCCCTCAACCCTAAACCCTGAACCCTAAACCCTAAATCCCCCTAAACCTTAAACCCTAAACCCTCAACCCTAAATCCCCCTAAGCCCTAAACCCTAAATCCTAAATCCCCCTAAGCCCTAAACCCTCAACCCTAAATCCCCCTAAACCCTAAACCCTAAACCCTCAACCCTGAACCCCGGAAACCGGACATGCTGAACGGACCCGAGCCGGAACCGAATAAGAGCGTTGTGGGTTTAGGGTTCAGGGTTAAGGGTTTAGGGCCTTTTGGGGTGCGAACATCTCCAGTTGCAACTATCTCTACCCAAGTTGCCCCTAAATCCCAAACCCAAAACCCGAAAGCCAACAAACCAGGACATCCCTAATGTTTTGGATGTTGTGAGGAGGCTTTTGGGGTGTTTAGGCTTTCTAGCGTTTTCAGGGCTTCTAGGGTTTAGAGACCCAAACCCGAAAACATGCGCAACGCACCCTCCGTGGGCACTTGACTAGAGCCAGTCGGCGCGAGCCCACCCTCCACAAGCACACGAGCTACAACAAGACCCCAAAGCCTCAAACCCCAAGCCCTAAACCCTAAACCGTTAACCCCTAAATCCTGAACCCTGAACCCTTACAAACCCTGAACTGCTAACCTGTAACTCCCTGAACTCCCGAACCAAACCCCTAAAGCTATGAACCCCAAGCCCCAAAGTTTTAAAATCCAAGGTTTCAAGATCCGTACGCTTTAAATCCTCAGAGTTTCGAAACCTCCCAGCTCCCCAAATGCTCGAAGTTCGAACCCAGTACATGGTCTGCATAAACGGTTTAGGGTTCAGGGTGTAGCGAAGGGTTGTTATAGAGCTTCATGAATCATTACAGGTTATAAAGCTCAATAGCATCCGCAGGCAAGGGGCGACGGAGCCGTGGCTCGTGCGCGAAAGGATATCCACTTATCTGTATCTGAGGATCAAAGAAGCTGCTGCCCGCCGAGTTCAAGGGAAAGTTCCCCCCCCACCCGGTGGATGGCGCTGAGATTGGTGTTGGCATACAAGGAGACTGGCGCCGCTAAGGCTAGGGTCGTCGTTGTCGTGTACCAGGACCCCGACTTCGGGCAGAAGCGGCTCCCTACGCAGATGTTCCGCTGCGTCTCTGCCCGGTCGGTTCCTTAACTAGCTCGTGCCATGGGCCTGGCGGGGGGAGAATGCGTGCAAATTGCCAAGGCATGCTATAGGTTTGGTAAACGCTCCAGAGGGGTGGTTTCGGGCGCTGACTTCATTTGGCATGAATCTTGACGAAGACGACGACCACAACGACGACGACGACGACGACTACTACTACTTCTACTACTTGTACTAGAATTACTACTACATGCCACCGTCAGAAGAAAGCCACCGGCGCCCAAGCGCGAACTGGAACGCCCAAGGCCCCAGCGCCTCTGTGCTCTAGGTTTAAGGGCTTCAGGGTTTGGGTTGGGTTTAGGGTTTAGGG